GAGGCCTGCTATGGATTTTAGAGCATCAACTCTTATAACAGCCAGTCCTTGGACCAAATCTGAATGATGTCAAAGGAGGCAAATCAGGGACAAATGTGGGATTCATTTCAGGGAGCGTTAGGAAGCTCAATACCAGGTCACAGCCGACCCCTGGACCTGGCACCCTCGCCCACATCTAGACTTGGTTTAGCTGAAGCCACCAGAATCTTGGTTGGCCTTTATCTAATTTCTTCTGGAAATCCAAATCAGAATTCCCACATGTACATTTCTTTATATCAACCTTGACTGGACAGGATACTCTGTTCTGATTACTAATCTGAGTGATATTTAATGGCCAAAAACAGAGCAGTTGACTCACCCATAATAATTGTTGTTGAGAGTCTTCCTGATAATGAAGCATTACAACTTTAGGGCCAAATGAATACATTAATAAATGGCTCCATAGGAACACTGTAGAAGCTTTTTTTGTTTTTTTCTCCTAACAGAAAATATTCCTGCTATCTTCCCCCCGCCACCCAACTTCTACATAACCACTGATTACATTTTGGAACATTATCTTTCATATGCTACCTTTCACCTTTTCTTTTTTAATGCATTGTGGTCATTGTGGTTCAGTGTCTGCCTCTGGGGTCACCATATGACACTGTGTAATGAATTTAATCCAGCGTCCACAAGTACTCTCTGTGTAGACCCATGTCTGTGAGCACTCTGTATCCATCTGTGTCCGTATGAAGGCTAGAATGGAAAAGCATTCTTGAACCTCTTGCCCAAATATGCCTCAAGTCAAAAATGCACACAAAATGTGAGTGCTGACATAAATGCTCAGTAGTAACTATAGGTTGATCATACCTAGTCCAAATCTGTTTAGTTTACAACTGTGTCCTGTTTTAATGCTTTTTAAACTATTGATCTTGGGGTGCCTGGGTGGCTCAGTCAGTTGAGCGTCTGACTCTTGATTTGGGTTCAGGTCATGATCCCAGGAGGATTGAGCCCCACCTCAGGCTCTGCGTTGAGCGAGCTTAAGATTCTCTCTCCTTCTCCCTCTGTCCCTCCCCCTCTTACATGCCCTCTCTCTCAAATTTTAAAAAAAAAAAGCAAAAACCAAAAAAACTATTCATCTTGAAATGCTCTATTTTTGAATATTAAGTTTCACTACAGGAGCAAAAGCATAGTGGTTCTTTCCTCTTCCTAGATGTTCATCAGGCAGTGGTGGTGGTTATAGCAACAACTAGACAGGGTTGAGTTTGACAAATCTCTGATTGCAACTATATATGAGGCACTTCAGTTTATTTTTTCTCATTTTAAAAATTTACTGTTCTACTTAGAAGTTATGTTATTAGCTGTTGCTCAGATACTGTCTTTTTGCTCAGCACAGCTCTCATTTTAACCATATTTTGAAAGATAAATGAATTACAAGTAAATGTTCCTTAACAGAATGTTCTTTTTTATTGCTTCGTTTGCTAGATAAATAAAACTAAAAAATCTTATTCTCGTATCTAACAGTTTTGTAGAAAACCTCATATTCTCTTAAAACAGAAAAAAAATGAGTATGGAAATGCATTAGATATAAGTTCTTTTAGAAAGTAAAAGCATATTAATGTTCTTAAAACTCTGATAAATATTTTGTAGCCGATTGATATAATTTGATGCATATATGTCAAGCTTATTGTTACCAATCATGTCCCATTTTTCTTTTAGCAATGAAATTGTCACCTACCTCTTTTCCCCTATCCGTTCTTTTTTTTTTTTTTAATGTTTATGTATTTTTGAGAGAGAGAGACAGAGAGCAAGAGGGGGAGGGTCAGAGAGAAAGGGAGACACAGAATCCTGGCGCCACCCAGGCTCCAGGCCCTGAGCTGTCAGCACAGAGCTCGATGTGGGGCTTGAACCCGCGAACCACAACATCATGACCTGAGCCAAAGTTGGATGCTTAACTGACTGAGCCACCCAGGTGGCCCCCATGGGTTCTAAAAATGAAATTATTTTTGAAACTGGTTGAGCAACAAGAAAAGAAGGAAAATGATGCCTTTCTACCTTCAAGGGAGGCAATGGAGTGTAGTGTACAAGAAAGAGCTCTGGACTGGGGATAAGGAAATGTGGGCTTTGGTTCTGATTCTGCTGTAATATAAATGTTTGTTAGTGATTATTTATTTTTGAGGGGGGGGGCGGAGAGAGAAGGAGACACAGAATCCCAAGCAGGCTCCAGGCTCTGAGTTGTCAGCACAGAGCCCCACGTGGAGCTCGAACTCACAAACCATGAGACCATGACCTGAGCCGAAGTCAGACGCTTAGCTGACTGAGCCACCCAGGTGCCCTGTAATATAAATGTTTATTAAGTGAATGGATCAACGAATGAACAAACAACTCCTCTGGACCTGTCTCCCAGATATAAAGTTTAGAACCTGAAGTACATTGTCTTTGTATCTCCTATCAGCTCTAAGGTTTCCTCATTCCATGTAAGCAATGTCTGCCTTCTTACTAGACTCCTTTGCTGTGAAATAGTCATCTTAAGGATTGTTATAATGGAATACATTTGGATTTGGTACGCATTAGTAGTGATAATTCACCTATTTTTTATTGATTGATCTCCCTCCACTCGAAAACACTCCTTATGTAATTACACAGGAGGTCAGTGATGGGATGGGAATGGGGTCTTGTTTTTTATACTTTTTCTAATTCTCTGAAATGTTAAATTAGTTTCCCTGAATTGTTTTGGTCCAAATATGAAATGGAAAATTTTCGTACATTTTTACCCCTGTCCTGAACTCAATTCTTAACCTAATGGGCTATGTATCTGTACAGGAAACATTGCTTTAATGTTTTAAAGTCGTATCACCCAATTAAGTTCATGCTCGGTGGACATTTTTCACACTCCGTTTATTCTGTGTGAAATGTCCATTCCGATAAATAACCTGCCCAGGAGAATTTTGCAAGGACTTGAATAATAGCCCAACTTGAAGAAGAGAGAGCGAGGTTGAGAAAAAGATGGAGAAAACATATGAGAATCCCAGCTTATCTTGAATGAGGGTTTCCGGTATGGATTTATTTTGTTTAAATCAATTGCCAGAATAACAGATATAGTTATATTCAAATTTAATTGATTTAATGGATTATTATACAGGCTTATTAAAATTTGTATCTATGAAAAAATTTTAATGATGTTGCAAATTGTTTGTAATATGGTAGCCAAGGAAACTGAAAAAAATTACATTTTTCTGTAATTTTTTGTAATTTTTGTAATTTTTTGTAATTTTGTAATTTTTGTAATTTTTTGTAATATGGTAGCTAAGGAAACTGAAAAAAAAAATAGTTTCAACGCTGCTAAGGTAAAATAAACGTGCCAACATACTAACTACAATTTTCTCTAGGTGATGAGTTATTTTTATGATGACTCTTCTTCCCTATTTTCTTCTGTATAGTTTTACTTTAAAAAACAAACTTCAAAGCCTTGCTAATAATTTCTGTCAAAAATTTAAAATTCAAATTATGATGTGTATTATTTTGTAGTATTGCAAGTTTGGGTTTTCCCATGCCTCTACTCATAGAGGAATGGCTCCATAAGAGGAACAACTCAGAGAGATTCAACTTACCCTGCACAACCTGAGGCCATAGAAACAGGTCAAGGCTCAGTTAGAGGCTGAGGATTCAGTAGCCTCAGTAATGGGAAAGAGGGTCTTATACTATGAGGGCCAGTAAATGCAGGGCAGAGATCCCACCAACTCTCTTATCTATGTGCTAGCTACACCTGGGAGATCTTAGAAAAATAAGACATCTCAGAGTAAAAGGAACTGATAGTCTTTGTTGGGGGTGGGGGATAGGCAAATAAATCTTCCGTGTAACATGAAAGCTATATGACCAGGGGTAATCAATCACACCAAAGACTGGATTGGTCGACTGGGTCTGGGGGAATCCAGAGGTGATACTTGAGTCTAGAGTTGGTCTCAAAAATGGAGGCAGAGTTGCAAAGGGAATAACATGAATAAAAGTCCTTTAGAATGAAACTAAATGAGGGGTGCCTGGGTGGCTCAGTCAGTTAAGAGCCTGACTTCAGCTCAGATCACGATCTCACAGTTTGTGGGTTCGAGCCCCGCGTTGGGCTGTGTGCTGACAGCTCAGAGCCTGGAGCCTGCTTCAGATTCTGTGTCTCCTTCTCTCTCTGACCCTCCGCAACTAGTGCTCTATCTGTCTCTGTCTCTCAAAAAAAAAGAAAAAAATGAAAAAAAAATTAGAATGAAACTAAATGATGGTTCTGGGAATTATGATGATTTTAGTAAGGGTGGGCATAGAATATAAAAGAGATCGAGGACAAATGTGTGAGGAAAGTGGCAGGAGCTTGAGGTCTACGCCTGAGATGAAGCCCAGTGACAGTGGACTGAAGAGGAGGGTGAACTGGACAGTTGGTAAAATCTGGACCTGACAGACCCAGGATGCTGTTGGACGTGTCGCGTGAAGGAGAGTGGAGACTGGCAGGAGTCCTAGGATTCTGGGGCTCCTTAGAGGTGTCATTGGAATAGACTTTACCAACTGAGCCATCCAGGTGCCCCTTGGAATAGGAATTACAGGAGGAGATGAAGGGAAATAATGAGTTTCAGTCTGGCATATATCGAAAATTAAAACTTCCTTCTTTCCATTCTTTCTTTCCTTCCCTTCTTTCTCTTTCTGCCTTTCCATCCCTTCCTCCTCTGTCTACCTATCTATCACCTATCTATCTATTCATCTATTCATTTAGTTATTTAGTAACCTTTATTTTGCCCTTGCTGTCCATGGGGCATTATCCCAGCCACTGTCCTAGGTCCATTGTAAACCAGGCCAGTTTTTATGTATCCTCAACCATGAGGGGGCGAGAGGGAGTTGTTTTCACAGCCACAGCTGCTGGGTGTCTCTGACCAGGACATAGCTAATCAGGTATAAGACACAAAGAGCTTAATTTCTTTCAGATGGTACCGTGTAATGTATGTTTTTTATATTGGAAACACCACTGATGGCCATTTCCTTTCTAGGTAGTGCCATTATTTCTGTTATGTTTCTGAAAGAAAATTTAAGAGCTTCAGATTTACTAGGTAAGTAATTATTTAAGTCATGTAATTATAGCACTGCTTGATCAGGAAATAAATAATATTATCCATAAAAAAAATATGTGCTTTAAAAACAGGGAACAAATTGCTGAAATGGATAAATCTCATTTAGAGGTGACCAGGATTCTTTCTTGGAGTTGCCATCTGCACTTTCATGTGAAGTATTTCTGTTTTCATTGTGCCCACTGCCCATGCTATTGACCACAGCGAATTATTATTTTATACTATTATTATGTATGTTATGAAATTTTCATGAGCATAATAAAATCCAAGAAAACATCTGTATTACCTAATAGAGTCTTCCACTTCAAAGGATGTATTTGTTACATTGTCAAGTGAAAGTCCTGCATAAAAATGAAAACCACACAAAAATTAGATGCACCAATTAACCACCTAATTTGTATTTTGCTCTTTCCAAAAACAACAGAGAACATTCCCCTTCAGATTTTCATTTAGAAATACAGCTGTTAGTAGAAAATAATAACAGCCTTCCTGGCTATAAGAAGGGTTGCTATTATATAGCAGAGCCATCATGTTATTGATTATATCTTCTACGTTTTACTAGAAATATCATTTGTGAGAAGAATTCTGGAGGTTCATATTTTCTTCCTTGACAAAGTCTTCTCTGAATTGCTGCTGACATATGATAACGAATATGATACTTTAGGCACTTTAAATAGAGGAGTGGCTGCTCACTTCCAAGGAGATCACATTTTTTAAAAAATTTGAGCTTTAAATGTGACGCCAGTGTTGGTATGTTGAGCATTTGTTTTCCCTGATTGTGTTTCCCTTGAGCCTGTTGTCTTGAAAGTGTTTTCACTTTTTCTTTTTCCTCCTTGGTTTGATTCTGCTAGTAGAGTTTTTAGTCCACATCATCAAATTTGTCATGGTTGAAATGTTTTTTCCAAATGCACTCATATATGCATTGTATCTTTTCAAATATATTATTTTTCTATACTCTTTTTTTTTAATATATCTTGGTTTGTGGAATCATTTGGGGAAGAAGTACAGAATTAGAAATAAGAATGAGCAATGCCTGAATTTTATAAATTAAAAACAAATTACATCTTACATTATTTTTCTCATTTGTCAAATGCCTTAAGGAAACTCTAAATCATTTTATCTAACATATGTCATCTTTTATAGTTAATGGTTGATTAATGTTTAAATTAATCAGAAGTATTTGATGAAGAAATACAGATGGATATATAGGGAGACTTGCTAACTATTGTGAATACTGGTGATAAAAAGATGGCGAAGACGGAATCTCTGCCCTCAAATAATACAGTTGGTGATAAAATATATACATGAATAAGTTTTTTAAAAGCAGAAAGCAGTATGTATCCTAATGCCTTGAGGCTTTAGTTAAGAACAGGATCTCTCAACCTCAGCACTGCTGACATTTTAGGCTGGAGAATTCTTCTCTGCGGGGAGCTGTCCTGTGTGTTGTAGGCTGCTTACCAGCGTCCTGCCTGGCTTTTACCCATTAGATGACAGGAGCACCCTCCGCCCTAGTAATGACAACCAAAAACAAATTCAGATATTGCCAAATGTCCCCCGAGGGACAAAAACACCCCCAGTTGAGAACCACTGGTTTAGAATAAAGAGAGGTTACTCTAGTTGAGAAGCTCAGAGAGAATTTTTTTATAGCAGAGGTAACATTCCTATCAGTTCTGATAGCTGGATAGGACAGGCACGGGCAATACCCAAGCATTTGGAGGAGGGTGTACAGAGGGACGAACACAAGAAGTATTAACAAAGGTGCAAAAAGGCAGGGTAAGTTTTCTATTTAATATGGCACTCAACTGCTGCCAGTTAGGATCGGGAAAAATTAATGAAAGTCACAATTATGGAAAGGGAAGAAGTAGAAATATCAGTGTATGCAGATGATTTGATTATATACTTGGAAAACCCGAGATCAACAGAACATTACCAAAAGCAAGAGACTAGCTCAATGTCAAAGGATGTAAATTAAACTCACTTTCATAGGTTCAAATCTGGATTCAACTTTCGCTGTCAGCTATGTGGCTGACATGATATTACCTAACTTCCCTAAGCCTCAGTTTGTTGACAAACATAGAAGACTGTTCTAAGGATCAAACTGGATAATTCATATAAGCACTCTGAGAAATATAAAGCCCTGTTGATGTAATTGTCATGTCTATGATCAACTTCATTCCTGAAAGGTAATATTAAAAATGTAACATAGGGAATAAGAAACAGACATACACACACACCAAAAAATAATAATAGTAAATTAAACCTCTATTAATTATTTGATTCTTTGCTAATTTCTCTTATTTTAATAATAGCTAATATTTATTAAACATTTCCTCTTTCCAGGTACTATCAGTGTTTTACATGAACTATCTCATTTAAATGTAGGAACAACCTATTTACAGAACTGATACTTAGGTTAAATAGCTTGTCCAAGGTCATATAACTAGTAAATGGTGGACCAGTATTCTAATAATGGCAGCCTGATATAAGTATAGCGTAATGGTTGAGGGTGAGTCTCTAGTGACAGAGAACTGTGTGACCTTTCAAAGTTACTTACTCTCCTTAAGCTTCATTTTCCTCACGTTTCAAATGAAGATAATATTACCTATCTTGTAGGATTAAGTGAGTTCCTAGAGGTAGAAGTCTTAGAACAGGGCCTGTCATGTAATAAATCTTCCATGTTAGCTATGATCATGATTTTTTTTAAATGTTTATTTATTTTTGAGAGAGGGAGAGAGAGAGTGTGTGAGCAGGGGAGGGGCAGAGAGAGAGAGAGACGCAGAATCTGAAGGAAGCTCCAGGCTCTGAGCTGTCAACACAGAGCCCGACGTGGGGCTCAAACTCAGGGACCACTAAGATAATGACCTGAGCCAAAGACAGATGCTTAACTGACTGAGCCACCTAGGAACCCCCAGCTTTGATCATTATTGCTGCCACCACAGTCACACATCCCTACACTCTAATGGTTCATCAAAGGAAACATTGATTAGGATATTTTTGCAAACTTTAATAATTCAGCTAATATTTTCCACAATTCTAATTGGGTATTTTTGCCTTCCTAATTTAATGCTTTGTGAGTAGGGCTCTGTAGCTGATCCCATATTTGTTTTGGACTATAGTTAAAAGTGATCAATTCTTAACTTTAATCTGTTGTCATAGGAATAAGAAAAATTGTAGCCACCTATCCCATACCCATGCCTCCAAGAGCAAGTCATAAAATTATCTTGATCTGAAATGTAATAACCCATTTCATACTTACGGAGAAGGATTTTTCCCCAACCTCACTCAGTAATGTGTTAAATCACATGTATTTTCTTTGTGTCTGTATTGTTGTTGCCTTGGGAAAATTTAGTTCTTTCTGTTAAAAGCTCAAAATGCATTTTTTTTCTTTACAGGGACTAAAACCAAACAGAGAAAAGAGTAGTTAGTGGCTTAAAAAAAAAAAAAAAAGATTAGCATATAAGCATGCTAAAAATTAAATTGTCAAAATGTGCAAAAGAAAATCATTTATTTTTCCCTGCCTCAAGCAAATGAAAGTTTGTTTTTCATGATGGAACAAATGAAGATTTTTTTGGGCCATGTGGAAACAAGCTGAACTAATTTATTGCCAAATGTTGCTCTGTGGCTATGAAGCTTTTCACCACTAGCCTCAAAAAATGACCTCACAAAAGCTATGTCTGAAAGGAATTGCCAACTATTATTAACTCAATGACAGGGTTTGGACTGTGCTCTGATTCTTAGTGGATTAATAACTTTAAGTTATTTTAATGATTATTTTTCCTTTAAAAAGCACCAGATTTCTCTCCCCTTCATTCAGCCAAAACCTATAGTATTTCCCCCTCTCTCCTCCCTTAGTCATCAAAAGTACTCAATCTAATAGGCTGTGAGAACCTAGTTGACTTAAGTCCAGATAGTATCATCATAAGAAAAAAAAAAAAAAAAAATGACAGTCAATTCATCAGTACTCTTCAGAGACCAGTAACTTGATTATTTTAAGTCACCTATAAATGGCTTCCCTGGATAGAATGTCAAGAGATTAAAAATGACATGAAGACCATCTCTTTCCTTCTTTCTTCCACACCAAATGGTCGGCTTGATTCAGGGCTAGTATCTAGAATACTAATGTAGCCAAACAAACCATCGTTTCTGGTTGAGGGAACAGATTGGCTATTTTGGTTTCAGGGTTGCCTCAAGAATGGGAGACTTTCTGGTGGTAGGTTCAGGACTATTTGGACTCACTACATTACTGAGACCTCCCAATCCAGGGCTGCTTTAAGATTTATGCATTATGGAGCGCCTGGATGGCTCAGTGGCTTAAGCGTCCAACTCTGGATTTCAGCTCAGGTCATGATCTCACAGTCATGATCTTAAGGTCATGAGATTGAGACCTGCGCTGGGCTCCACACTGGGCAAGGGACCTGCTTAGGGATTCTCTCCCCCTCTGCCCCTCCCCCAGT